CCTATTGAATTGTCTTGGTCAATGCCTACTAACACGCATATTGTGTTATCAAATAGGCCAATCTCATAACTAAATAATACTCTCACTACTACTAATATGTAAGAAGCGCCCATAAACAATCCATTTCAGCATTACGCTGCCGTTGCTGATTAGCGAACTTAAATCCTATAGATTATTGTAAATTACGGTGATGGCAACGGATATCAATGCATTGTTGCTACACTGTAGAATACAACAACACTCACCAAGGACAGACAATGTGTAAGCCAAATTTCGAAGCCAATCAATTGCGTTAAGCAATTACGGCGCGGGACAATGCATAAGTACATATTTATATGCGATGAGCTTGTACAGGGTGCGCCAAATAAGACCTACCAAAGTTAAACAAGTATAACTTTTTTATGTTTTAATATTATTGTTATTTTCTTTATGCAATGCACTTTATAGTTAATTTCTTAAACAAATCATTCTTACAGCAAGTCCATGCTGCGTAAAATTGGTAGGTCTTATTTGGCCCTGTATTTACGTATGAATGGACTCGGGCGGGTTGATTTTTTTTTACATCGTATAGCAAAAACGTAAACTACATGAAATTCTAAGAAAATTCTCCGAAGAAACCATGTATCTAAAATAAAATCCTAATCCGCGCCTCTCGACTTGAAAATTTATATGGCCGCCTTTGCCAAAAAAATAAATGTTAGAAAAAATAGGTTTTTTCAAAAAGAAATCGAATTTTCTAAATAAAATTGTTTAGTAAGGTATTATATAATAAAGCATAATATATTTCAAAAAAAGAAAATAATTTTAGCGAAAGAGGAAAAAAATTTTCAAGTCGAGGCGCGGATTAGGGTTTGATTTTAGATGTAGACTACGTTTTTGCTATACGATTTTTAATTTTTTTTTTCATCCATAAAAATCAACCCGCCCTAATGTACATATGTATATGAAAACATTCGTGAGTCAAATGCATAGGCGATAAGACAATGCATTGAACTGGCCTGTACATACAGCGCTTGCAAATATGAAAAAAATTCAACCAATGAGAGGCGGGACAGCTGAGTGAGCTGAATGTCGAAAGCAGATTGAAGTAAACGACATCCTAAAAGCTGTTAGCAGTATATTGAATGGAATCAAGTGTTTGTTGCTTAGCAACAATGCAATTCTCAAGTGGCATTAACACGCAATTTATTGGCTTAGATGTGCGTATAGGTAATTTGAAATCAAATTTAATGCCAAGAAATGCAATTAAAGCTTTATGCTTTGCGAAGCTCTGAAGACGAATTGCGTGAAATGATGTCGCACTCATAAATTAATCGAAATTATTGCAAAACGGTTTGAGAGTACCAATACTAACTATAACTATATTCGAAACAGTTAAAAAAAAAATGTGTTTTTGGTTACAATGTTCGTAGCTAAGCTCAAAGCCGGAATCTGACCTCTGGTGTCTGGTGTCAAGTAACATTCAAGTGAGAAACTGAGCTCTGATACTTTGTTTATCGAAACTTTTAAATTCCTATTCGCATACGTATTCGTACTTCTACTTAGACTCGTATATTCGTATTCGTATTCGTATCCGTAATTGCCCTGATAACCAAAGTTTCCGATATCTTAAAGAAATCTTTAGAAGTATCGGCAATGCGTTCCGATTTCATTACGAATCTTCAAAGATAATCAAATGAACTGGTTGACACGTGCTCGTACGGTATGGTTTCCTTAAGAAAATGCTGCAGAAATTCTTGAAAAAGTTCTTCACATCGCAGCATTAATTTAATTCCTTTAAAGATTTTCTTCTAAAATTTCGCAAAAAATCGAAGTGGGCACAGCAAATTTCATTTTTGAGCATTCGATAAAAAGACGGAAAGGGAAATGCTGATTATTTACGAATTCTTCAATATTTCCATACTATTTACATAGACAACTCTGAAAGCATGGTTTTCAGGGTGCATACATACATATTTCTATTATTATTTTTTATTAGTTTGCATAGTTTTATTTGAATTCGTGTTCGTGCTTGTACCATATAAATAGAATATTCGCATTCGTATTCGCATCCATATCTTCTTACTGAAGTTCATATTCACACTCATATTCATGCTCATATTCATATTCGTATGTATTAATATTCAATATCATATTCATATTCATATTCATTTTCATATTCATATCCATACTCATATTCATATCCATATTCATATTCATATCCATACTCATATTCATATCCATACTCATATTCATACTCATATTCGTATTCGAGTTCATATTCATATTCACATTCATATTCATACTCATATTCATGTTCATATTCAAATTCATGTTCACATTCGTTTTCATATTCATGTTCATTTTCATATCCATATCTACTCATACTCAATTTCATATTCATACACATATTCATATTCATATTCGTACTCACCTTCATGCGTAGCGTGCACCTGCTATTGACACCTTTTGTCATAGATACCATCCCCAGCCCCCTTTCGCAAATCACCGTAATTTTAGGGGCATTCTGTTCTATTTTCGAGGCACTAATCGCTACTTTCATGCATTTACCTTTATTTAGTTTATTTATTCAACTAATGGCACTATTTTTGGGCAACATTGATTGCTGCTTTCATGTGCTATTTACTATGCAAGCCTGAATCAATTCCCTACACATGCGAATTGTATAATATTTATTTATTAAGTTAAGTGTTTTCTTTGTCTTCGCAATTTCCAAAATAACGTTCATACACGTGCGTCATTCTGTTGCTTTCTTGCTGCCGATTTGTTTACATGTCTTGTCCCTGCACTTTTTCGATTTTTATCAAACAGCTATCTCTTTGTTTATTTCTAACTGTCTTTTAACTTTCTTTTCGGCAAAATGGTTCTTGTGCTTTTTTTTGACATTTATGTCATAAATGGCTTGTGGCTTTCGTACGTGTCCTTTTGTTATGCACTATAATGTTGCTAATTGATTCTCCTTTAATTGCTGTGTGTAATACACAAATCTGAGTTACACGACTATTTTTCTGTTGTGAAAATCTTTTTTAAATAAAAAAGTAATTAAATGCAAACTGGACTAATGGAATTTACTGTTTTCGTGTCGTTATTTGGAAAGACTTTCAAAAACTGAAAAAAAAAAGTGTGTATAAGGTGTGTATCAAGGTACATTAAACAGGTAGTATCAGTAGAGCAAAAAGAACATTTGCGTGTATTTTGTTGTTGCTTCTGGTATCGAAAGTGTCAAAAACTGTTCTGAATTTTTTCTTCTAAATCAAAGCGTGCCATGTGAAATACAAAAAATTATAAAAAATAAAAAATTGAAATTGGAAAAAATAAAAATTGATGCAACTTTCTTTCCTAGTAAATTTGTTTGCTTCTCGAAGCATTGATCCATCCTTT